GAACCCCAGGTATTTCTTTAGTAGTCTGTCACCCCTGATCCATTAATATAATTTTCCTCAGTTGCTGAAGTTATAATAATTGGTTAGGCAATACACAGTAAAGTAGCTTAAAGTTGGATAAGACTGACATTAGTATACCATTATAGTATTTTGAAATAGTATTTGTACAGAATACTACATGTATTATGCCAAAAAATATCAACATGTATTAGGAACCATATACAGCTACCCCTTCAGCATACAGTAGCCACTTAAAGACAAGTGTACGGGATATTCCGGGATACATGTAGTCAATATAGAGCGGGGGGACCTTTTATTCAGTCCCGTAACTCATTTTTTGTAAGGAACCTTTATGGTTTGCCTGGATCCTGAAAGCGCTGGCCAGGTCTAATATTAAAACCACGTTTTTTTTAGATTATGACCAACTAGCGGTGCAGTGCAAATTTCTAATGCCAAAAATAACATTAAAACAAATCAAAAGTGTATTTTTTATCAATCATTCTTTTCAATATTGAAAAGTCTGGTTGCTTTCAAATTTGAGAACAACAATTCAATACGATAATCTAGGTGCGGCAACAATCTGTGCCCGCATTTCGGGAGGCTGCACAGCTCTTTATGTCACCCGCCCTACGAACGCCACACGCCATCTAAATAAACTTGTTTATTACTCTAATGTATCCACGTGCCACGTACCACTCGTGGGGTTCTTTTTTTATCATGGGGGAGGGGTACACGCACGGAAAAGAGATCAACTATATGGAAACAGGACGAACTATACGTAAGAGCCTCTCCATGAGCGTGGCAATGCTTCTGTATATAGCTCCAGTTCCGCCCACTGACGGGATGTCTAGTCTTCCCGAGGGCGAGTTATACACAGACACCGTACCAAGGCCATTGGGTAAAGCATTTAAACCATGTGACACTTCGCCGAAGCTACTCAATTCATATGCTATCAACGCTTATGCGGTCCATTACAATTGGCAATTTATACTTAATTTGCCCTGATAGTCCACAGCTGCTCCAATTTACTATAATTCGGAGAACTATCCCTGCATGCTGTTATGGCCACAAGGCCACCAGCCATCTGTCTGAGGCTAGTCCTCTGTACATGACGTGATTCCAATCCCAGTTGGGGGATTAAAAGAGAAATGATGATTGGTCAGAACATGCGTGTATGCCATTACTTTTTGGTTGATATCGTCGCAGTTTTGCCAGATTTTCTCACAGTCTTTTCCTCATTTGCATGTAACATACATCCATGGCCCTCACACGTTACCGATAGTCCCACTCTATTTGATTATTTTAAAACACAGTTTCGACAGCTCTCATTGGCTGAGGAAAAGTTGCAATATGCTTCCCTCGTTGCCTAAAATAACCAATGGGCTAATTCAAAGGTTTATTGCGCCCTTGGGCCTTGCTTTCGCCAATGGGTGTTTCGTGCGCCACGTTGCCAAGGCAACGGCACGTTCACAACAGACACTAACGTGTCCCGGCTCGCCAATCACAGCGCTCAGATCGGACCCACTAAAAATTGTGTGAAAAGAATTGAGATACTTTATATTTCGCCACAGGGACTCCCCCCGATAATTGCAGACGATCAGTCCACGCAGTGTAGTAATGTTTCTCCTCGTCCCTGCATGGTTTGAAAAATTCTCAACCCTATTCGTAATACATATAAAACAACCTTTTCACACGATGTATGCATACTGATTAGTTTTCAAAGATTCAATTTTTTTATAACCTACTGGTTTTCAGTGTAACATTTTCGAAAGGCTAAATGACTCATATACTTTCAGTTTGGAAAATCAACCTTGATTAAATTCCAACTTTCAAATCAGCCCTGTCAAAGTTTTATAAAAGGACATATATGGTGCTCTTACTATATAATGCCCTTGCTGTATTAAAGTGTCTACTTGTACTTGTATCTGTGCTTCCAACTTGAAACGTCTTTCTCACAACTGAATTAGCTTTGGCAGTTTTGTAGCTGGCATATGGCTTGTAAATGTGGAGCCTACTTGCAGTCAGATAAACCAGTATGGACTTAGGCTATGTATGTAGAACAGGGCTTGTTACTGCCAGCTACGGTCTCAAGCTGCAAGCCAGAACATGGCAAGTCAGAGCTGTCATTGCTAATATACTTTATATTCTGGGTTACTTGTGAATATAACTTCTTGTAAATATATGTGTGTCTCATTTCAAAAATGTCTTGAAGGGAGTTTTTACCTGGCAAGCTAAACTGTCTTAGACAGCCCCCCCCCCCCCCCCATATACACTGAACGGCTGCCAGAACAAGACTGAAGTCTATCGGCAGGGTGGGGTCAATATATAGTATTATCATATAGCCGTGTGACGTTGACCAATCAGAAGGCTCCATTCCGCATTCCTTATGACGCCGTGATGTCACAAATCGAGTCAAAACCGGGTCATTATTCATCCCAATCCATACATTAACAATCCAATAATCACGCGCATATGACCTCAGATGATCCAAATAGAGAACGATTCTGTTCTAAAAAATCCAAGCATAACTTGAGTTGTGTTCCAATGACCTCGGGTGACTGCCATAAGAACACCTGTTCCCTGCCTATGGCCCAAATAGAACATGGCATGCCCCAATGTCTTTAGGTGACTCCAGATGGAACACATGTTCTATTTAAGTTTGTTTGTGTTATACAGGAATATGTCACTCTTACTGTGTACGTTTTGATAGGATATATGATAATAGCGTCAATGACTCGCCTTATCTCGGTGAATATGGTGTGATAAAGCCTTGTCAGTTGCTATAACCACCTTATTAAGCTCCTTCGCTCACCATTCAGTAGGTATAGCAACTGACAAGGTTTTATCACACAATATTCACTTCGGGCCGGTAATTAACCTTTAATTACTGGCCCCTTTAATTCATCTGGAAATTTTCGATTGAACTCCAGGCAGTTCAAGAACAAGCTGCTATGGGGACCAAACCGACACATCTTGTTCCTGGCATGAAAATATACATACCAAAGCCAATGTCAGCCACAGGGGGGGTTGACATTTGGTTTTCTAAGACCTACTAACATACCAAATAAGTTAGCTTGACCAGAGGTATGCGGAACCACATATAGACAGGCCCCCAAACAATGTCTACATGTAAATGTTCACATCCTGAATCAGCTTATTACTACAACCACATGAGAAATAAGCATAGCACATTACTTACTTTCATGCATTCTACTTTCTCCGCTATATGTGAGGTTTTTAGCAGTCGTTTTTATCATGATGTGTTCTTAACCATCCAGATGTTTGGAGTCTCATATCTCTTGTTTGTTGTTGTTGTTGTCGATCAGAAGACCATGGGAAGAATGCTGAAGCAGTTGCTGATTTTCCCTCTCATCATTCTGAACCATGCCATAGGCTGGATGTTCTCTGCGCCAGACTGCAGCAGCACTAGATGTAAATCAGCCACTTCCAGAGGCTGGATGTTCTCCAAGCCAGTACCTGACTGCAGCAGTAAATCACCAGCATCCTGTCATTGCAACGAACTTGGCCTCGAACGCATCCCCCAGAAGTTGCCAACATGCACCTCTAACTTGGATTTAACATTAAATAATATTACATCTATAAGTCAAGACGAGCTCACAAGGTACAGGGACCTTGAGATATTAGGTCTTGGTAACAATCAAGTAACAACAATTCATTCTGGCACATTCTCAAAACTACCGAAGCTTACAATACTGAACCTATTTCATAATAAAATAGGTAAAATCCCACCTGGTGTCTTTTCAAATTTGCCAAATCTCACAATGTTGCACCTAGAATACAATCAGATAACTGAACGTTCAGGCCAGTACATTCTCAAATTTACCAAAGCTAATAGAATTGAAAGTAAACACTAACCAAATAGTTGATATTCAACCGGGAGCTTTCTTTAATCTACCAAAGCTCACAAACTTGTATCTAAACAAGAATCAAATAAGAAAAATTATAACTGGAGTATTTTCAAACCTACCAAATCTCTCAAGGTTGCAGCTACGCTCCAATGGAATAAATGATATTCAAACCGGTGCATTTGATCTACCAAAGCTCACAGAGTTATCCCTAAGCAATAACAAAATAACAGTTAATGTCATTCAATCTGGTAAATTTTCGACTTTACCACAGCTACGACAACTATGCCTAGACGGAAACAACATAGTTCAGATTCACCCAGGAGCATTTTCAAAATTGCCAAAACGGCTTGAAAGTTTGCAACTGTCACAAAACCAGATAACTACAATCCCCGCGAACGCAATTTCCAACCTACCCAACCTAGCACATCTTTACCTGTACTCAAATTACATAAAAACGATTCATCCAAGAGCATTTCAAAATCTTCCACAACTTTAAAGGTTACTTCTGCACTCAAACCAGATATCTGCACTTCCCCTCGCAACATATGACATGTTGGCATCTATTTCTTATGTGAAGATTGACAACAACCCCTGGTGGTGCGACTGTGAGATCATGGTTCCTTTCTGGCAAAAGATGAACGGGCTTCGTCCGTTTGAAAACCAAATAGTATGTTCCCAGCCTGCCAAATTCTCCGGACAAAAGCTTGAAAATATCCGTCCTGAGGACCTTCTCTGCAAAGTGCCAACCACATCACCTGTTAACGACCAAACCGAAAGTGCTAACAACGCCAACAATGACGTTACCTGCACGCACCGTACAACCAGCTATCACTCCATTAGTAAACAAAATACCGGAACAACAGCACACCCGATAGACACCACATTTACCACACTGCCTGTCAACCCAGGTAAATCAGAAGGAAACAGATCCAAGAATAGTCTATTGGAAAGTGCTGAAAACGCCAACAATAGCATCGCTTACATGTATCACACTCCTCGCTATCACTCCATTAGTAAACAAAACACTGGAACGACAGCACGCCAAATAGACATCACATCTACCACACTGCCTGACAGTCCAGGTAAACCAGAAGGCAGTATTTCCCAGATGGGCCAATTGGAAAGTGATAAAAACGCCTACACTTCCACCGCTTCCCAAGCCCCTCGCTATCACTGGTACTTCAGTCGAAATGCTGGCCCAACGCCACGCCGATCTGGTACCACATTTGCCACTCAGTCTGCCAATGCAACTACACCAGAGAACAACACTTGCCATGTATCTGCTCCCACTGTCCCCCCACTAGTTGACACTGTGTCTGTTTGTGGTTTAATAGCTAGCGCTGTCCTGATTGCTACCTTCATTCTCGCAATCTGGTACAAGAAGAGGGTCAGAAACCTCCGGTCAGACAACAAAACTAAAGATGTTTTGAATAATAGAAGTCTTCAGGCTAAGACACAATCAAATAATGCATATGAGGATATCGACACAGCAACGAATAACCTACACCAGACAGGCCGCCGATCCAGAAGTCTAAAAGATCAATATTTTGGTTTATCTGAAAGTTTGAGTGGTACATACACCACTGACCAACAAAATAGTGATCAACATAATCAGACGGGGCAGGGTCAGTGTCGAGCCATCACTGTGTCCGAGACAAACACCACATTTACGGTAACTGTAGTGACTAGTGGCCATGATGACCAGTTTGAAAAAAAAGTGACCAACAAAATCATACAGGGCAGGGTCAGTCTCGGGCCATTACAGAGTCCAATGCAAACACCACAGCCACACTAACTGTAGTGACCGATGTTCACCATCACCAGGATGAAGATATCAACCAACATTACCAGACAGGGCAGGGTCAGTCTCAGACCACCACTGACCATGATGATTTGCTCTCTTTTGGTAGAAATCTAATATACGGCACAGAACAGACTGATTCAGAGCCTAATTATGTGTATGAACGTTCAGACAGGGCGGAACAAACCTCGAACTGCCAGTGATGAATCGTTGGATAATACAGTTTCTCCATTTAACACTACAGAACTGGCTGTGTTAGAACATAGCCATGTGTAAAAACACAATTGATTAGATTTGTGTCGCCTTGTAATCTATAACGTAAGGTTTCTTTGTCATTAATATAAAATATACAAGATCAATCCGACCATCAGAGATTTTTGCTCGTTGTTCTTATGGAGATCATTACATTATATTAGACCAGGAAAGGTGTGTTTTTTTGCAAGTGCTATATTCAAGAAGTATTACTGAACATTTGATGTTTAACATCAAATGTTCAGTTAACTATGATCTTGCATATAGAAAAACTGTTTGTTCCATATTAATGTAACTATTCAAATTACTATGCTAAGTTGTATCAATACGTATCTCTGTATAACCAGTCTCTGTGACAGGAATTAGCTACTTATGATATACGCACAGCCAAATCCGCTCGTTATCCACTGTTTTGCTAAACTGATAACCTTTCAAACGAACGTTGACATTTTGTATATATCTGAATTGTCTTTTTTACGAATTATCTTTTTAAATGTGTTAAAAGTGTATGTAATTTATATCAAGATTAGTTAGAACTTTTTAAAATCACAATTTGCAAAGAAACACAGCAATTCAGCCCATGCTGCTATGTGTTTTTATGAAATAAACTTGTAAAGTTATTATTGATACTAAGTTACAATTCTGACAATGTTACTACTAGTCATTCCTATTAAGCCTGGATGCAAGATCCATGGCACACTAGGCCCAAAGGTATCCAGTATGTGAGGGTGGAGGATCTGGTGTGTTAAGATAGACCTGTTACTTTAGAACGCTCAGTATTCGTGCATCCGTCCCAAAAGTGTAGCAGCAGAATGCAATTTTACCGTTCTTTGGCATTATTGGTTTAAAAAGTTGTACCTAAAGGCCACCTACAGGTAAGATGCAAATGCAAATAAGATAACTTGTGCCCTTATGGAAAAAAAACACTAGTTAAGTTATAGTTGTGCATGACTTATTGTCTTCGTCAGAAGGACTATGAAATTGTCTCGCCGCATATCGTGGGCGACTGCGGATTTTGCGATATACCTCTTGAAGCCATTATTCGATGTCCATGATTTTTAGCAGTTAGATTACCTTTGTTGAGGCCGAATTCGAAGTCAAGTACAAGTTTCGGCTTCGTGGGGGGTCCGTGAGTCACGTTAGTGCACCTTTTGTGTTTGTGACTTGTTAGCAAAATAACTCAAGGATTTGTAAAATGTTGCTTATAATTTTTTGCAGCAGATTACTATTGTCGGGACCAAGGTTAAGTTCTTTAATGGACTTCGTGGGGGGTTTCGTTGTCACTGCAGGGGGCATTTCCTTAATTTTCTTGGGAGCAGCATAACTTCTGTATATGTTAGTGGTAGTTAATGAAATTTGGTAGGCATGTTACTGTTGTGGTCACCAAAATTGAGTTCAAATATGAGAGTCTAGGGGGTCGATATGTTCCCGTAATAGACCTTTTGTGTTTGTTTGTTTCTTTGTAGTTTAAGTTCCAATGTTGCATTAATCTAGATTTTTGTATTGTATATAGGTATCATGATATAGATTTAGTGGTGTAAGTTTGAACTCTTTTGTTTTATAGGAATGTGAAAAAGAAGTTCTATTGTTCTTATTTTTTGGTTGTTCTGGTGTTGTCTTGTATGTAGGTCAACGACCTTCTGGCCAATTAGAGTAGGACAGCTGTATTGGTTGTGCTAGATCTGTCTATATAGGTCATTTACCTTATGGCCGGAACAGCTGTCAGCGCTAGCTGTCCATGTTATTTGTATATTATTTGGTATTCAGTTTTCTGTCCCCTTTTTCTTCTATTGGTTGGTTATAGGCAGTAAGCCTCGTTTGCATAGGATATTTGTGCTATATATAACTTATATAGCACACACAACACTTATATTATAAGTGTTGTGTGTGCTAGGTTACAGGTCTCAACAGTATTTCTTTAATGGTGGAGTTTCCTTGGATTTCTCGGTGTGGATACCTCAACAATACTATATAGGGAATGCGTTTTTCCCCTTTTCTTACAATAGTTGCGTTTTCCAGTAGTATGCCTTGCGTACGAACAGTGAAACTTCAAGTGGTCGGCGTTACTTTGCGTCGCAATATGTAGGGTAATGCGTTATGGAAGGTAAAAAAAAAATCCAAATTTCTCGGGGGGGCATATTCCCGGACCCGTTTTATTGCTTGCGCTTCGGCGCCTGGCGCCCGATGCGCCCTTGCAAAGTATAGGCCCTTTCGTAGACACATTTGGGGATCAGGCCGGCCAGGCTAGGGAACACTAGTGTAAACTTGTTGTCTTATTCAGAAAGACTATGGAATTGTCTCGCCGCATTGTGGATGACTGCGGATTTAAAGGAATAACCCTGGAAGGCATAATTCGACGTCCATGATTTTTGGCAGGCAGATTACCGTTGTTGCCAATGTAGAGTGCAAATTCTGGGCTTTGTGGGGGTTCGTACGGCATGTTAGTGCACCTTTTGTGTTTGTGGCTTGTGAACAAAATAACTTTTGTACATGTAAATTGATATTTATCATTTTTGGTGGGCAGGTTACTATTGTTGAGACCAATTTTAAGTTTGTCACTGCAGCGCACCTTTTGTGTTTAGAAATAATGACCAACCTCTGCTTGGAGACAGCTGACAGCTGCATGGGAAACCCCATAATGGGATGGGATCAAATAACGTTTAATGAGGGATTGTTCATTATAACTTCAGCTGGAGGAGGAAAGATTGGACATGCGTTAGGTTATTTCATACGGCCACACGAAGTAATTGTTATGGATAACGTCCACTGGAGACCTGTGCGTCTGTAAAATCTGGCAAACCCTTTTAGGTTGTCCGTAGCATAAAAAAGGGAGTACAGAGATTCTTTTACTTTAGACCACATTGGTTATTAAAACTTAAAGAATATACATGTTTATTTCTCTAGAACAATGTACCTCTGACGAAGACATGAGATCTCCGACCTCTTGTTTAAAGCTAAGTTGATCTTCAAATACATTTTGAAACTTGACTGGTAAATGATTAACCAGTGGGCTGTGTTCAGCTTATATGGCAATGGTTTGTTCATGCTGGTCAATATTGGTGCAATGTAGCAGGCTACATGTGGTGTAAGTGTCAATTAACCACATCCTATCTTACCTTATGTCGAAAAGAAATATGAACTGTGCGCAATAGGGAGGAAAATTATAATTATAATGCATAGTATATTGTGCTAGTTTTGAAACAAAAGGCGAAACGAGTACTTTATTAGTGCAACAACAGTATGGATCCGTGATAATATTATACTTGCATAACATTGAGTTGATTCTAATTGCAACTTAAACAAAAAGGTAAACTCGATTTCTAACATACAAGGACATCTTTTATCTCAGCTAAACAGTTGTAGGCAATAATAATTAACATAAAGTTTTAAAAAAGACACAGAATAATATACGTTACATTTAGCTCATATTTACTTTTGATAAATGTTAATCTTAATTGCTCTGTGGAATAAACTCATTAGGCCGTTTCAGGGCAGCTTTCCTGAAATGCAGCGTTAATTGTCTCATTATTTACAGCATATACTAACCAATAATACGTATGGACCGAAATAAAGAGAACATTTGAGTAGCCATTTTAATCATGTCACGGAATAGTAATAGAGTGCTAAACCTCTGGGCAACATCACCATGGAACCTAAGATTATGATAACTTTACGTGAAATGCTGGTAATTATTTCAGTTCATACCATGCTTTTTCTCATGTTCCTTCTCCTTTCTTTCGTGCCATTTCTAGCATGAGGTAAGTAACTTAATTTTTGACGAATTTTTATTTCCCCAACGCTAACCTACCTACCTGCATTTTAAACCACGAACTTCCATCCATCAAGGTCATCAAAAGTTATAAATTGTCACACACCCCACCATAGTCCACGAAAACAACCTTATACTGGAGGTAAACAAATCATTTTAGTGACCGAAGGCCACAACGTTTTGTTCTCGAGGTCGTTGATTGAAAAATTATTTTGATAAACCTCCAAAAGCTATCAAAAAGAGAAGCAGCCTAATGTTTTTTCTTCAATATTTAAGAGGCATGGTTCATACATGTATAAATAATCAATTTTCCTTAAGCCAGACTAATTTTGAGTTTTTTCATCGCAATATACTGCGACAGACGCCACAGCTAACGCGTCCTAGCCTGCAAGCACAGCTACGTATAGCAAGATAAAATGTCATTTTGGAATGCCCAGACAACATCCACAATACATTTTGGCCGTGTTTATGTGAAGTTACCCAAACCGCGATTCGGGTAACTCACATTCTTCACATCTGGTCCACGTGCCTCACACTCCTGTGAAACCGTGTCCGATCACAACTCTTGAGCTACATTTATTGTTGTCTGATGATAACACGCAAGGTTGCGTGTTATTAATGTCAGATGTCAACGACCTGCTTGCTGATGCCCCCCTCCCAGCCTATCTCGGCCGAATGCCGATGTGGTCCCGCCAGAGGCGATGAAGCTCGCCCTAGAACGGACACATTATTTTACCATTACTGCTCTTTAAGTTGCTGCCACATAAAGAAATATCACCCCGTAATCCGTGACCAGGCGAAGTTACATTGAAATCACATTGCGTTCAGACGCAAATCGCGATGCGGGAAAACCGATTCGAAACCACCTCAAGAAGTG